GGCCCAGCGCTACTTAAGCTGGGCCAGCGCCCAGTTCTGGACAGAGGACACAAGGAGAAACCCAGCGTTACGCTGGTTCAGGACTTCGCCTGCTGTGCTATTTGGGGACTACCTGCTGCGCTATTTTGGAGACTGCCGGCTGCGCTGTTCTTCGGCAATGTGGCACAGCGCTGGAGGAGTCCAGCGCCGAGGAGGTTAGTGGAGTTCAGAGAGAGAGAGAGAGAGAGAGAGAGAGAGAGAGAGAGAGAAGAGGGACTTACCTGTCGCGACTTACCAGCGCCATAGCTGGGCTCCCGCGGTACTTGCAGTCAGCACCCAGGTAAGTAGGATCAGAAAGCGCCTAGCTTTCTTCTTCTTCTTCTTCTTCTCCTCTCCTTCTTCTTCTTCTTCTTCTTCTTCTTCTCTCCTCTTCTTCCCCTACTCCTCCGAATTCTTCTTCTTCTTCTTCTTCTTCTTCTTCTTCTTCTTCATCAGAGTAGAGATAGAGGTACTGCAGACATTGTTTGGACACGGCATTCGGCCTTATTGGACACGACATTCAGATCGGACTTGTACTCTACATTGGGATTGAACTGTGTATCGACATTCGGAGATCTCTCTCGCATGTCTATGGATCTCTCCCCATGTGTGTGAGCGTTTCTGATGCCTTGCCCTTCCCAAGTTTCTGTCCATGTTTGTTTGTCCTCGTGTCCTTTGATTACTAAATTTTCCGCTGCGCTGTTTTCCCAGCCTATGATGATGATGATGTGAATGCATTGTTGTCGATTTCTCGTTGGTTTACTCTTTGCATTGTGCACATTGGCATCTTGTGAATGTTGCATCTGTGCAGCTGGTTGTTGCCACTTTCATCATTGCTAGGTCTTAGGCTCTCGGTGCATTTCACTTCCTGATATGCTACACAGGCCGTGGGAATGTGGTACTGGAACCAGTTAGGACCCAAGAAACAGAGGCTGGCACGAGTTGAAGTGCAAGACTACAAAAGGACTGGCCAGCCTCACATTTAGGCAGATTGCTCATTCGCAAAGAGTGTGGAAGTGCTGGTGCACTTGTGCGCTAATGTGAGGGGCAGAGCGCTGAAGCCAGAGTGCTGCGCAAAGAGGGAGAGAGGAAGAAGACAGCGCTGGCAGAGAGAAGGCAGCCATAGCTGCGCCAGCGCAGGGTGTTAGTGTTAGTATTTCGCAGTCGTCTTCAGAGAGTTAGTAGAGTTAACAGTGGGTGTATTCAGAGTAGATCTTTGAGTAGAAGTTAGTGTGTGTGTGTGCTTGCATACAGCGAGGTCATAGCTAGAGAGAAGACCAGCAGGGAGGGGTGATACAACAGAGAGAGAAGAGCAGAGAGGAAGAAGATACTTTCCTGGGTGATTATGTCGGATGTTTGGTTACCTATGACATGCGCTGTTGTGCGCCGGTGACTCGGAACTCTTATTGCCCTTGTTATAACTTGTTGGAATTCATAAGCTGCGCTATCTGGTCTTAATCTCTCTGGTCTCCAGTGTGGACTTCGTGTGAACTCATACATGCATATGGTGTGAATATGTGTGCTCCTTGGTGTTGAGCTGGGAGGTTCATTGCATTTTTCCTGCGTGAATAGTAATTACAGATCAGTCCCTACTGCATCAGATATTCGTGGTCTGATACCGGCGTGGACGGTAATTTCCCTGCGCAGATGGTAATTGCGGTTTAGTCCCTGCTGCATCAGATATTCATGGTCTGATACCTGCATGGACGGCAATTTCCCTGCACAGATGGTAATTGTGGCTTAGTCCCTGCTGCATCAGATATTCGTGGTCTGATACCTGTGTGGACGGTAATTTCCTGCGCAGATGGTAATTGCGGTTTAGTCCCTACTGCGTCAGATATTCATGGTCTGATACCTGCGTGGACGGTAATTTCCCTGCGCAGATGGTAATTGCGGTTTAGTCCCTACTGCATCAGATACTGGTCGTGTGATACCTGCGTGGACGGTAATTTCCCTGCGCAGATGGTAATTGTGGTTTTGTCCCTGCTGCATCAGATATTCATCGTCTGATACCTGCGTGGACGGTAATTTCCCTGTCGCAGATGGTAATTGCAGTTTAGTCCCTACTGCATCAGATATTCATGGTCTGATACCTACGTGGACAGTAATTTCCCTGCGCAGATTGTAATTGCGGTTTAGTCCCTACTGCATCAGATATTCGTGGTCTGATTCCTGCGTAGACGGTAATTTCCCTGCGCAGACAGTAATAATTGCAGTTTAGTCCTTGTGCGGATGGTATCTGTGATCCACTCCGTGCGCAGACGGTATTTTTCCTGCACAGGTGATATTTGCAGTTCAGTCCCTGCACGTCTACTCTATGTGGTCCAGTCATTTCCACAACTCAATTATATGTTATTGCAATGGCATGTGATCCTTAGTCCCCTGTAAAGATATGCTCCACGACCCAAGTATTTGCTGGGCCAGTAAGTTGCTGGCCGAACCTGTGGACACTGATCCATTGTTGTTTTCAGGCCGGCCCATTCAGGCGGGGCCAGACAATGTATTGTCGTTGCTGTTCTCAGCCAGGCCCATTCAGGCTGGCCCAGACATTGTATTGTCGTTGCTGTTCTCAGCCGGGCCCATTCAGGCGGGCCGGGACATTGTATTGCCGTTGTTGTTCTCAGCCGGGCTGGACATTGTATTGCCGTTGTTGTTCTCAGCCAGGCCCATTCAGACGGGCCCAGACATTGTATTGTCGTTGCTGTTCTCAGTCGGGCCCAGACATTGTATTGCCATTACTGTCTTCAGCCAGACCCGTTTAGGCTGGCCTGAGCATTGCTATCACTGCCGTTCAGTCGGGTTCACTTTGTGATTTGTTGAGTTGACGCTGTTTGATTTACTCTTGGGACCGGCAGAGAGGACCACGTACTTTGTATTGTTGTTTGGTCGTGCCATTTGGAGGGAGCGTCTATAGTGTCAACGGTGCAGTTAATGTCCAAGCTGGCAGGTCAGCGTGAGACAGCCCCGAAGTGGGGCAGACTTGTCGAGAAGTTCTGTTATCGGCATGTTGGACACCAGACTTTCAACATCAAGGCCAATGAGTTCCCTACCTCTAGAACTCTCAGGTGATTACCTACTTGGTAAAGGGGGAAGAGAGCGGGGTGAAGGGCGCCACACATGAGAGGATCACCAACTACATTTTCTGCAGGGAGAGCTATTGGTGGGACAACTGGCTTCATGTGGTGTTCCCTCACGCCCCCTCCGCTCCTGGCGGTGATGCCCTCTTCGATTTTGATCGGTGCAACCCCAAGCCTCTCAGCAAGGCAGGCAGCAAGGACAAAAGGTGGAAAGATGAGCAGATCAGGAGCGAGGCAGCCAGGTCTGGGATTCTATCATTACTTGTTTACAGAGGACAGAGACGGACGAGTCAAACCAAAAGCCCTATTGCATGACCGATGTTGACTTGAGGGATTATTTTGACTGGGACACCCACATGGATTGAGCTCGTTTGGTTTTGAGTGGACTCTGGACAGCTCATGATACTGGCTGCTGGAACGAGGCGTAGACGGAGGGCAGCACTATGGCAAATCGCATATCTCCTTGCATGATACTTACTCGAGGGAGATTGACTCATACATGCCAGGCGAGCCAAGGGCCGAGGAAACTGCAGCACCCCCAAGAGGGGAACGACTGGTTCCATACCTTGGAGATGGATTCAGCCATTTCGTCGGGGCAGACTTTGCGATATAGGCCTTTAGAAAGACACTTTATGGAGATCGATTCCTAGAGGTTTCATATTATTATATCTACAGCAAGGGACGGATTGAGATTTTGATTGGTGCTACGGGCGACATTACCCTTGCTGAGGAGCTATACCTCAAGCGTATTGTGAACGAGGAAATGGCAAGGTGCATGGCGTATATTAGTAAGATCGATCCTGCGGCGTTTCTTGACATCGGCTATTGGGTGCCAGAATCCATCACGAATCAGGTTATCAATGTGGAGCATGAGCAGGAACAGTGAGCGCTAGAGGCAGGATCCTTGACAACAGAGCTCACTGACGAGGGGGTACCACTTATTATTATTGACTGAGGTTCATGCATTCTAATCACTATGATGTGTTTATTGAGATTATTATCATGAGTCATCAATGACTGCAGCCCTCCAATGGCTGCTCCATGCATTCCTTGTGTACTACTCTTAAGTCTCATGTCTCTGGTCATGCTCTTGCAAAGTCTGGTTTCTGGTTTTCTTGTCCTTCATGTGTTATTTGTTCTGTGATGCACGATACATCACATTATTTCCTCTTCTTATTACATAGGTTACACTCAAGCTATTTGAAGGATTCTTGGATAATAGAGACTCCGGTGAGCAAGAGTCTGACCTTTATACAGGGTTGGTGCAAGCAACAAATACGAACGCCTCACTCGAAGTCGTGTCGCCACTGGCAGGAGGGATAACCCTGACTAC